AGATTATGGAATCCAATTACCAAACCCAATCCCAACCCTCTGCCAGCAAGTTGATTCCAACTCACAGTGACCTGTGTTTCTGAGCCATAGCCTCTGTTACTCCCACCCAACAACCTTGGTGTTCCTGGTGGATCTGGGTAAGAAGGCGAAGGAACTACTGATAGGATTATATGAGTCTACTGTGAGTGTTTATTCACTGGGTGAACTGGGATTGCCATCACGCTGGCTATAAAATCAGCCATCACAGAAGCAAGCCGGGAAGGTTTCATTCCCAGCAGGAAAGAAGAGCCAGGAGTGGCGTGCATTTGAACCCTGAGAGCCCTGCACTTTGAACCTCCTTGATCCAAGAAGCAGCTCTAGCTGTTTCCAGAGCAGCGGCAGAGAAGCAGCAGCAACAGAACCAGAATCGAGACCATGAGACAGAGCAGTCGACTTCCGAGCCCACAAAGCAAGTAAAGCTTTGACTAAACAGCTATATCTTAAACATTTCTCACCTGAATTGTAACCCATTAACTTCCCTAATAAACCCTATAATTTTGAGCATCATGTATGAGTTCTGGTAACCATTTCAATGAGTTATTGAACCCATCTGAAAAGGAGAGTGCTGTGGGAAACAGCAATAAAGAAGAGACAACTGTGGAGAGCAGAGCTCCAAGGCTGTTACATGTCAACAGCAGTTAGCCTCCTCTTTCTCACTAGAGCAGCTGGTGGGCTGAAGCACCAACTCTGTGGTTAGCAGTGCGACACCTACCTGGCAGGGCCACCAGGGGTCCTTGAGTCTAGCAACACAAAACAGAAAAGGCTAAACAACAGAGTTAAAGAGTTAAGAAGGGGTTCTTCCTCTAGCTGCACATAAAAGCCACCTGAGAAGCTTAAAAAAAAAAAAATAGCACTGATATCCAGGCCTTACCCCAGAATTCTAATTTAACTGATCTAAAAAGGGGCCTGGCCACGTGCTCTTTTTCAAGCTCCACAGGGCACGTCTAATGTGGGCCAATGTTGGGACTGCTGACGAGATGTTGTGGTGATGCTGTAGCAGCGAGTCAGTTCAGGGGACTTGAACAAGTGCGCAAGGAGAACAGGAACCGGATCAGGGTGCTGAAGTGGGATGTTTGGACTCAAAATGCCTTAGGTGGCCGTTTCTGGTGAGTAAAAAACTCCTAGTGCGATTAAAAGAGGAAGTGCCAAAGGTCAGAAAGGCAGGTCACTGGAGACCAAAAGCAGAGAGTATACTCCAAGTGGAGGATAAAATCTCCACGATAGACAGACTACAGGACGGACATGGCAGAGAGAGGAAGGGATGAAGCGGGCACTAAAGTGCCCAATGAATGAGGAGTAGTGAGTGAGCAGGGAACTGGGAAACGGCAGCATCATGGAGGGGAAGGGACGCCTGAGGCACTACTGAGGGTTTCTATCATTGATGTATGCTAAGACAGATGGAAACATTTTTGGCAGGCTATTGGCAGACTACTGATTCTACCTCTACTAATCGACTTAGAGCGATTTTATTCAGTGATGGTTATAGCAAAACGATGCACCAAACAATACAATGAACTCTAACAAGGCCCACATGCTTCTAAGGGGGCGCAAAACACATGCATATGGGAAATCCTGAAAAAAAAACAAAAAAACCTCAATATCCTCATGTTTATGTAAGACACTTTCCACGTAAATTTACTCGTTCTTTAAAGGATTCACATAAACGGAGAGGTGACAAGACAAGAGTTGT